GGAGACCCAGTATGGGATGTACTAAGCATAGTTGAGGTGATCTCCGACATCTTTTACTTTGTGCTTTACAATATCTTTTCTTGTGTCTTTTTTATTCCCATAAGCATCGTGTTGGTTCTATTTATTAAATAAAAAAATTCTAATTAGTGGTAACAAGTGAGAACCACTTTTATTTATGTATTTGTTTATTTTCAAGTGAGTTTTATTGTTCTTGGACTATTGTAAGTGATCTAGTCGGTGAGAAAAAGGAAAAATTAAAAATTGTATAGTGCTTGATCACCTTGTCCAACTTTCAACCTTTGCTATCAAAATGATTCATTGTTTCCTCCCATATGGGGTAGGGCATTTGCTGGCATCCTTGGACAATTAGATCTAAGTAATCCATTTTTTTTCACAAGAATACACCATGAAATGACTCAAACGCCGATATTTAACATCCTCTTTCATGGTTCTTTTTCCCAAGGGATATACATTTACCAACCCACTCTACTATATTTTCTCCCGGACAATTCTTTTTGCTCTGTTTGTTAATGGAATTATCATTTGATCTAGAACACTTTATCTTAGGTGTAGCCAAACAGAAAGATACAGTTTCTATAAGGCCCAAGCTTTATGAAAATAAAGTAAAGCTTCACATTGAATTCTCGTTTGGAAAGCACTTTGAGCATCGAAAATCTCTATCATGGCTCTAAAATCAACTTTCAATATTGACAATGAAATTTGAAGCTTAAAAAATGGCACAAATCTTGCATATCCATGAACACTTATTTTTATGGCCAAATTGACGGTCTAAATAATGTGTTATATACACTATTTTGAGGGCTTGAATTCCTAATTTTTTTCACAAATGTAGTGGTCAATATTTTCTCTAACGCTATAATTACAAATTTTGGTGAGTTTTGAGGTGAGGTTTTACTTATTTTGATAGGGCTACAGTCCTATCAAAATATTTTCTGATGCAGTTACTATAAGGTCCAAAATTTTGAAATAAAGTAAAGTATTACCTCAAAATTCATGTCTGGAAAGTACTTTGGGCATGAAAAATCTCCATCATGACTCTATAATCAATGTTCAACACCAACTATGATATGTGAAGCTCAAAAAATGACATAAATCTTGCGGATCTGTAAATACTTATTTTTAGGGTAAATTGACAATCTAAATAATGTGTTATAATATACACTACTTTAGGGCTTGAAATCTTTCTTTTTTTTACAAACATAAAACGTCAAGGCCGAGATGATTGATTTTAAATTATCTTGACGCCAGAACTGTAAATTTTAGTGAGTTTTGTAGTGGAGTTTATTTATTTTGATAGGTTGCAACCTCATCGAAACATTTCCCTAAAAAATAAGTAATATGATTAAAATGATCTTCCAATGGGGTTTGATAAATTTCCCATTTTAAGTATACGCCTATTGATTTTGATTCTTCCACCCAAAACATGCGCGTAACAGACAGGGGAGTGACCCAAAACACTCAAAATAAAATCATCACATACATTGTGTAAAGCATATGATACATAGCTCGAGCATCCAAGGCATTTTTGCCACAACAGATGGTGGAGACTAGCTAAATTCTTAACTAGAAATATTCATTGAGGTACTCTATCCATTCGTGAGAAAACTATTGTCATTATATACCACCAGGCTCAGATTGGTATATGCTTTTTAAATATTTTAGGCACCATTCTCGAAGTTTGTTAGGTCGTAGTTTGAAAAAGAGCACGTATACTATGCTTTTTTGGTAGCATAGTTTATTTTACTCCCTCAGCCAGATGATCCAATTGGGAGCATTTTTTCAATTTGAAATTTTGGGAACCACCTAGTAATCATTAGATGTTTATCCTCAAAAATAAAATTTTGAAATTTGTGTTTTGCATCTCACCTTTTAAAAATTTGGTGGTTTCTATTCAGTCCTGACACTATTTTTTTCAAATGCTTAGGAGGTGCCATCATGAAATATTTTTTTCCTTGAGATTAATCAATGTATGAAAGAGGTTTTACCCAAATTTTGGGATCCTAAAATTAAGCCTAGGTAGGTTTTACCCAAGGAAGTAAATAGACAGTATAGTCCCAAGAGACTAGAATATCTTCCAGCCTTTATCTCTTTAATTCTCAATAAAGATATCATTGCTAAAATTGTGGCATTAGACCCATCAGGATTTTATCTAGTCTCTACAAAATCATTGCAAAAGTTCTCGCTGAAATACTGAAGCGTGTTCTACCTTTTGTCATCTCAGATGAGCAATCTACTTTTATCAAAGATCGGATGATTCAGATAGCATTCTTATTGCCCCTAAATGCATTCACTCAAGGAAGTTAGCAGAACAACCAGGAGTGATCATCAAATTGGATATAGAAAAATATTTTGACAGAGTTGAATGGCAAGTCCTCTATAAGATTATGAGAATAATGGAGTTTGGTTTAAAATGGATTTCTTGGATGATGGGGTGCCTCTCTTCGACCCATTTCTATATCCTTATTAATGGTAGCTCTAATGGATTTTTTCAAGCTTCTAGGGGAATTAGACAAGGAGATATCCTATCTCTTTTTATTTTTCCAAGCTTCTAGAGGAACCAGCATGATGCTTAAGAATGTTGTGAGGTCTAGTCTCTTATGAGGGTTTCAGGTTTCCCCTTCTGGGCCAGTCATTTCTCATTTACATTATGTAGATGATACCCTGATTTTCTGTGATGCAAATCATAATGAGCACTTTTCTCTTTTGTTGCCAGCTGGCACTAGGTCTCAAAGTAAACTTCCATAAAACATCGATAATGGGCATTTCTTGCTTTAATGGCCCTGTGGATTCTCTCACCTCTATCTTGGGTTGTGAAGTGGATAAGTTTCATCTGAAATATTTAGGAGTTTCTATCTCTAATAGCAAACTATCATGGGTAATTTGGGACCCTCTCATTCATAGATATCAAGTTAAAATGGACTTACGGTAGATAAAAACCTTGTCTTTGGGTGGTCGTATCACTTTGGTCAAATCTTCCTTTACAAACCTGCTTATTTATTTGATGTCCATTTTGCAAATGCCCAGAGAAGTTATAAAGATAATTGAAAAATACATGCATATTTTTAACTGGGGGAATGTGAATGAAAATCAGAAAAAGTTTCATTTGGTGAATTGAGATAAGGTCTGCACGCCGGTTAAATCAGGTGGTCTGGGTATTCGAAAGCTGAAACTCATGAATTGGGCCCTACTATCTAAATGGTGGTGGAGAAGTTTTTAGAACTCTTCCCATCTTAGGAAAGAGGTTTTGATCGTAAAATATGGCTTTGATCACATTTCTCATTTGATCAAGAAAGGTAGAGGTGGAACATTTACTTCACAAATGTGAAAGGAAATCTTCAATTGCAAAAGGATAGTCTCAAGCAATATTAGATGGTTAATTAGTAATGGGGGAAACACTTTCTTTTGTTTCAATATATGGCTTAGTGACGCTCCTCTGTGTTCCTTATTTTCAGAGCTCTTTGCCAAGGCCGCACTTCAAGCTGCGAAAATTTCTGACTTGGTATCTGCTCCACCCTCAGGTGTACTATATAACAAGCTTTCAGATTCTGTTATTATGCAGCTACAAAGTCTTTTGCACCTCCTTGAACAAGTCTACATCTCTCTTTGCTTTGAAGGTGAGATTATGTGGGAGATTGAAAGTACTGGGGTGTTTTCAGTTAAGTCTACTTATAGGCTCTTTTTCTTAGATAGAGTTCGTTGGACTGATAGCACATTTGGGTCAATCTGAAAATGGCCTATTCCCGTGAAAGTCCAAACCTTCTTTTGGGTAGCTTTTCAAGATAAATATCTCACGATTGACAATCTTTGCAAAAGGGGTAAAGTTCTCCCTAACATTTACCTTGTATACAAAGGTGATGAAGAGACCGGTATCCCTCTTTTCTTATATTGTACATTTGTTGTTTGCTTATGGCATTGGACCAAAAGCTTTATAAGAACTTGAAAATCTATATCCAACCCTTATTATGAAATTTAAAATTTCAAAAAATATGTAGATTGAGTATATCTATAAACACTTCAAAATTTTGAAAATAGACCATCCAAATAACACGTTCCAAAATACACTATTTATAGACTTGAAACATATTTTTTATATATATTTATATATCTTGAGGTTGAGATAATCAATCAAATGATTTTCCAACTTAAAAACACTCTTTTCTAATCGGTGCACCTTATTTCTATAGCATAGTTATAAATTTATATAGACTTTTTTTCTTTATAAATTAGACGTCATCACTCTTGACTTTCAAAAAAATCACACCTAAACATCTAAAAAATTTGAAATTTGTGTTTTTGGACTTTGAACCCCGTCAATAACACTTCTAAAGACACCCCATTTCACATCCAATGGCCAAGGGTAATTATAAACTCTTTGTAACAAAAAGGTAGATCGGGAAAACCACATGCTTCTGCCTTGTAATATACATTTGCCATGGATATGCTCATCAAACCGTAGCATACAAAGAAAATCGTGATAGTCCGTGAACACCAATTTAATAAAGTTTATCCGGATTTCATGCAAAAATGGACTTATCCTCCATCAAGATAAGGTGAGCTTCCTCACAATCTTACATTCTCCAGTGAGTAGGACTTCGAGTCGTCCACGTGTCAAGAAGCCAAGCCCTCTCTAGCTCTACCTTCCGTTCTCCAGCATCCGATTATTCCCGTGATTGAGTGTATGAAGAGGGAGAAAACCCGTGACTTGTTGAGAGTTTGAAAAACGTAAAATGAGCCAAAACTGAAGGCCAAAACAGGGCTTAATTCACGCCAATTTGGACACACGTGCGTTAAACAATTGCAAAACCCGCTTTAATTCCATCTCCTTTCCCTCTCCACACGGACAATGGCCCACATTTATCGCAGTTGATCCCGCGATCAAACAAACCGTTACTTCCATTAACCTCCAACTGCCACCCCTCATTTCCCTCTCTATAAAATCCCCACTCCCACCTCTCTAATTCCCCACTCTCTCTCTCTAACTTCCCACCTCTCCACTCCCTCTCTCATTTTTCTAAGCAATGGGTGCGGTCAGAGCAGCACCACTCTCTTTGCTCAGTGTATGGATAAGCTTACTCCTCTACTGCATCACCTATGCAGTTGCCCTAGACTACAAGGATGCACTCTCCAAATCCATTCCTCTTTTTCGAGGCGCAGCGTTCTGGAAATCTGCCTTCCGACCAACGTGTCACATGGAGAGCAGACTCTGCGATGTCTGATGGCTCTGCTGATCATGTTACGTTATTCTAATTTTCACCTATCGACCCGTATATTTATCCTAGCTATCACATATAAAAAAACCCGTATATTGATCCTAGCTATCACATTTAACAAAATTACTGTGCAGTTATCCGATGATATACAGAGCAATTCATTAAGAAATCTCGGTTTTCTAACCCAAAGCAGTGTGGTTTCTATTAGGCCGACAAGGTTAGCATGTGTAGATGTTCCTTGAATTCTTTGTTCGTGTTTCAGGTTGATCTGGTGGGAGGATACTATGATGCAGGGGACAACGTCAAGTTCGGACTCCCCATGGCTTTCACAACAACACTGCTGGCATGGAGCGTGATTGAATTTGGAAGCTCAATGCAAGACCAGCTTGGCAATGCCAAAGCCGCGGTCCGATGGGGCACTGATTATCTGCTCAAGGCAGCTACTGCAAAGCCGAACACTCTATATGTCCAAGTAAGGGAAACATTGCCACCAAAATCTCTATCTCATACAGACACAACTACTCTGCAAAATGATATTGAGCTTGGATTCTGGTTTGAGATGAGTGCAGATTGGAGAACCCAGTGCAGACCATAGGTGCTGGGAGAGGCCAGAAGACATGGACACACCTCGCAACGTTTACAAAGTGTCACCCCAAAGCCCAGGATCAGATGTAGCAGCGGAAACTGCTGCCGCATTGGCTGCCAGTTCGATTGTGTTCCAAGACTCTGACCCCTCATATTCTAGCAAACTTCTCCAAATTGCAAAGCAGGTCAGTCAAAAAAGAGCACGTATACTAAGCTTTTTCGGGAGCATATACATTTACTCCCCCGAGCAAAACAAAACATTTACTCGGGATTTCTTTTTTCTCATTTGAAATTTGGAGATCCATCTAATTATAACTATAGGTGATTATTTCTTTAAAAAAAAATAAATATTGGATTTTGATTTCTTGAACATGCCCTCTAAAAATTGAATGGCTGTAGTGCAATCATGGGATGCCTTATCTTTTAGGCATAAAGAAAATTATCTTTTTTTTTTTTTTTTTTACTCTTTGAGGTTGGTTGCAGAAGAGAGTGATTATCAAATTTTTCTTTTTTCGTTTTTTTTTTTTTTTTTTGTTTTTTCTTCTTTGAGGTTGATTACAGAAGAGAGTGATTATCAATTTTTTTCTTTTTTTTTGTTTTTATTTTTTTTTTTATTCTCTTTGAGGTTGGTTGCAGTTATAGAGACACAGCCTATCTAAAAGATATTCCTAGATTAAGTTTTTCCCGAGGGAGTAGATGGATAATATACTCCCGCATGAGTAGGAAACCTTCTCATGGTGCATCATCTTATCGCGGCGTATCATTTAAATGTTATGAACCTCAGTTTCGAGATGACGTGTTTTCAGGTTTTTGAATTTGCTGACAAATATAAAGGATCTTATAGCGACAACCTGAACTCTGTTGTCTGCCCATTCTACTGCTCTTACTCCGGATACCATGTGAGAAGACAATCTATCCTATCCCTTGGCTTCAAAAGACTTGGTCGTGTTGATTTTGTGTCAAGCAGTAAGTGAAATTCATGTGTTCAGGATGAGCTTCTTTGGGGTGCATCATGGTTGCATAGAGCATCACAAGACAAAATGTATATGGCCTACATTTACTCCAATGGTCAGACACTCGGGGCAGATGATAGCAGTAACTCTTTTAGCTGGGATGACAAACATGCAGGCACCAGAATTCTTCTCTCCAAGGTCTCTCTCTCTCAACCATGAATCATAATTTCATTATCAACAAGAATTGAACCCTC